ACTGTATTCTTCAAGGAAGCTCATTTTCCGGAATCACTCCAACTATGGCAATTAATTAGTTATTTAGAACGAGACATAATCACCAAAGAACATATTTGGCCAAATTAATTATGGATCAATGAGCCGGATCGAATTGAATGTGTCGTACTGATACATTCTCCTTTTTGTTATCCAGCAAATGATGCTCTGTTGGATGAAAAGAATGAAAGAGGTGAACGACATGTGATATTCTTTTGTGAAAACAAACATAATCAATTACTCACCAACATACTTGAGTTATGTATTCCGTGGTCAGAAATAGAAACAATTATATTTGGTGGTATTGCTCATCGATTCTCAATGACTGTTGAAAATCTGGTACGCGTGAAAAATTTCAGCCACATAAATATTGATTCTTATTTTCAAATGAAAATTGATAAGACAACGTTGGAAGAGAAGAAAAAGCAAATTATGCAAAGTTCTTCATCAAGTACGTACCTATTGTTTTTCTCATCGGAAAAATAGAACTCATATGTCAGATGAATCATTTATAAATGTAGCGATTACACGAGAGAATATATTAGCTACTTAATAATGAAAAATCATAAAAGACGACATTTCGCATCAAAATTAGCATAAGTTCAAGTGATATTTATGAATCTTTTAAGAAGCCTCAAGTTTAATATTTTATTTAATTAGAATAATTTTTTTCTCATTTTACTAAAATGAACATCTAACCATTTTCGTTTTCTCAATTGTGAAATTTGGAGAATTTTCTTCACTCCATAACCGATAGTGAATCTCCTCATGTATCACGACAGTTCTCGTAACAATAAATGTTAAATTCAGGTTGCATGTACTTAGATATTATCATACAACGTTTGTCGAAAATCGATGCACCATTAGTCAACGATTCGTGCAGATACAAATCGGCATTTTCACTGGGTCGTACTTTATATCAAATTGAGCATTTACCATCGTTCGGTACGTGTGATATGATCGCATAGAAGAAACTATATGTGTTCTCTATATTTTTTTCAAAGGTGCATATCGTGATGGACAGTTAGTGAGCTGGTGCTTAACACAATTCAGCGGATATTTTGGAATGATGTTTACATTATCTGAAGTTCGTCGACTTGGTATTGCCAGTTTAGTGAATGCATCTTTGGCTTCGGAATTATTTAAATTTCAAGAACACGTGTTCTGCTATGTCTTATTTGGAAATAAGGCATCATATAAGATGCTAGAAAAATTAGGCTATCGTCAAACATGTATCATTGATTGGCTTACAGTAACATCGAAATAAAAACAGAAACTTTCAAAAATGCTATCATAGAGTTTGTCTTCGATGAAAATATCTTTTCTTGAGCTACTCAGAAGAAAAGACTGTTGAATAAATTATTGCTTGCCTACCGAAGTAGACGAGAAATTCATCCTACGACTTTTCTGGTAACAAACATTAGCTAGAAGCTGTTACAACTACAATTCAGAGAGATACTAGTTTTTATGTATCTTCAAGAAAATAACAGTTACTTGTGATTGTTCTATTCATTAACTCAATAAGAAATTATTTAGATTTTTTCAAAAAGAAGGATGTGATTGGGTGCTGGTATGGATGCACGAGTATAGTTATAGATCCTTCCGTTACTCATATCCACAATCTCACACCCACACTCAAGATAGTTTCGTTATTTATTCCATTATCTAGCAACGATAATGACTTAGCACTGTGTTCACTATTTGATCAACAAAGGGTTTTGAAAATACGTTAATATGTTGCTAAGCTAAGAATGAAAAATGAAGTAATTTTATCATTGAATGTATTTATTACTTTTTTCAATAATTTGTACATTTTTCAAACTATTTATATTTTCTTTAAAATAATAATGATGGTCTATTGATAATTAGTGTTCATTTAAATTATTCAAAATAACTTCAACTAAGCTTGGTTTTTTAAATGGAATATTAAGAATGATTTATTGAAAAAAGAAAATTAAAAGACTGTCAACCTATTTATGTATATAATTCGCATAATTACAGCAGAAATGTTATGTTGTTGTATCGCAGACTACGGTTACCAGTTTTCAAAGAAGTCACTAAGATCCTTATTTGTTTTGCACCTGAAAGAAAATAGTTGATAAAAAAAAAAGATGAATATCCATAAATACCCTTCCACAAATTGTTGCTTGCTTATTTTATGTTCTTTATTCAGATCAAACATAGCGAAGATCCCTGTAGCAACTGCCTCTGAGACAAAAGTAGTTGCTAAGCCAGTAGCTTGGTATTTTTTCTCAAAAATAAAAAAAAACAAATATTTCGTCTAACATTACACTAAGAAAAGAAAAAGAAGAACCTTACCGTTGTCTCCAAGAAGTCCATCATCTCGTCGTAACCAATTAGACCATCACCTGACGTATCTAATCTAAAAATGAAAAGTTTAATGGAGAAAGAAAACCTGATACTAATAGCTTTTTTCATCTGAATGGCACTTTTTTTATAGGCTAGTTATTATATCTAGATGTATGAAAGGAAACTTACATTTCGAACACAAGTTCGAGTCTACTATCCAAATCTTCTTTATTTCCCAAGGCAATAATTAACACAAATTCACTGAAATCGATTGCACCATCACGATTCTTATCAAATACAGAAAACATCACACTAGAATATTATAAACGATTATGATAAAATGTAACGAAACGTGTTGACATACTGGGGTACATCGGTCTTGTCATCTTCTAATTCTATGAATTCTTTCGAACACTTAAGGAATTGATTTTTATCCATCCTGCCTGATGGACATTGGCGTTTGAAGTTCTACAAAGAAAAAAAAACATTTACTAAAAACCATGCCTTTGGAAGATATTTCACTGATTACATCGTAGATATCTCGTATTTCTAAGAAAAAGACAAGAAAAAGTTTGAGATCATAATCATATCTCAATTCCACTTACCTTCTTCAGTTAGATTACTACTGGCTTTAAGTATAGCTATTTCTAATAATAAACTAGTTTTGCTACATTAATTACAATAAATGAATATAGTACCAAACCTTTATCAAGAAGTTCATCAGATGCTCTCTTTGTAGATAGTAAGCTACCCATAATTTCGATGGACACAGTTGTTATTGAATAAAAAAAGTGAATATCTGAAAAACTAATTTGAAACTGAACGAATGCTGTTACCTAGTATCACAGTTATGCTATTTGAGTCATGTTGTATTTATTCGTCCTGCCAAATAAAATAATATTTACCGGTAAATTGACGATATATATAGAAAGAGAAAGAGGAGAAAAAGAAACTCGAAAAAGATCGATGCGATCTTAGAATAGCTGTAATATGAAAATATGAGAAGAAAAGTGATGAATAGTACAAGTGAATGCGAAGGTATAAGACATAGAGAACCAACCGACGTCAAACTGAAATTATTTCTTCAATTTCTTTTTTGCCTTCTGCAGCTCTCACTAGATCTAATTATAGTCAAAGAACAGAAAAAGAACGAAATACAAGTGCAAATTACTGTGATCGATGATGAGAGAGGAGAAAAAAAGACATGCATATATGGGTATGTACTTCTTTCTTAAAAAAATACAATACAATACGAAAAAAAACCTCCTTTTGCACATTCTCTTTTTATTTTAAACAGGAATCACATAATGATAATTATTCGATTTATTGCAGTGCACATCATAAATGTTGAATGACACTTTTCCTTCGTTACGGGGTATCCTGAAACAGATCTTTCATAAACATTGACAGTGTTCAAACTATACTAATATTAGGTTTCATTTCACTGATTAGAATTCGGCATCTCATATAAATATTTCTCTTCAAAACAATATAATTTATTTAAAAAACAAATGGAATCTAAATCAAATCGATATACTATTCTGATTGTATCGTAGCTTTTACATTAAATTGATTTTTGACATGATTGTGTAAGATTTAATTATACATGCAGAGTTAACTGTAGAAGTTCCATTCTTTTCCTGAAAAAGAACTAGCGATATGCTTCAAATGGTAAATTGAATGACATTAGGAAGTACTTCCGCCATTTACAAACACTTCTTTCTGCTTATATTATTTCATTGCATATTCTTTACGAATTTCGTCCAGAAGCGATAGAACTTCAATATATATATTGAGTAGATTCTTGAGAATTGCAAGACATATCGATACAAATTAGTAGATTGCTTTTATCCTTAAGGAAGAAATTAATGAGAAGAAATCAGCTAATAATTACTGATTTGTATTTTTAGTTGTCCAACTGACAATTGTACGTTTGATCTAGTGAATTAGAAATAGAATTAGTAGGACATGGCATAATTTTTGACACTTTTTATTCTTTCTAACCTACACAACATCAGATCCAATGCAGAAAGAGAATAGAACAATCAAACATCCCATGTTCGATAACGTATTTATCGCATTAATTGTTTGTGTAATAGTATTTCATCTTAGTAACTCAATACGAACTACCAATTGAAATAGAGCAGGAAAGGATTGCTGAAAAAAATCATTCGTTTTCAGTCTTGTTTATCAAGACCTTCTGATCGTCTTTGGCTATTTCCCATAATAAATAACGGGTGGTTTAGAATAAACAACATACATAGTATTTTCACCGTAAGTTTTTCAATTTTTATGTTTTCATGCTACAAGTTTTTTTAAATGCTTCATGAAATTCTCCACAAAATCGTATCGATTGTTTTTCAATTTCCATCTAAAATAAATTTTTAGAACATGACAAGTAAAGCTTTACAAAAATTGTAATTTCAAAGTAATCGGTTACCATTTAATCGGTCAGTAGAATAAATGCAATGGTTAGTAGATGAAAAAATTCGAAAAATCAGTAAATTCAATGAATGGTCAGTAAAAAATGGCTGATCAGTGAACTAATGAAATGGTCAGCTACTAATGACGTAAATTTCTAATTAAATGAAATGATCAGTAAATAAAATTTATCATCAGTAAATTAATTGGAAAGTAAAGTGTATAAATTGAAATGTACGATAGCATCATTTATGTCTAATTTTTTTCTGTTTTACTGTGTTAGTAGATGATGGATAGTATATATATTTCTCTTTCCTTCTGTAACTTTGGTATATGTCAAATGTGTATATACTTCGTTTCTATTTGGAATTTTTCTCGATCTACTTAGCGATTGTACGTTCTCTCTATGGACTTTTCCATAACGCGATCAGAAATTACCACATCAAGGCACTATCTACTTCTTATCATTTGATATTTGGTGTGTGATAGTGGAAAATAGTTCACATTGAAAAACATCAAAACGTAACTGTTCAGTTTTCCTTAAAAACTATATATGTAATCACGTTGTTGGTATGAGAATACGCTTGCAATATTGCAAACTACCACCAGCAGCAAAGACAGTTCTGATTGGCGAAGGGAGAAAACGTGATCGACCAGCAAAAGCTATATCAGCTCTGTTGGTGCAATAAATTAATAATCGTTTTCTTTATTAGCACTAGTTTACAAATTTCTTATTTAGTATTTCATCAGATTTCTTATTATATTTTCTAATATTCTTTCTTTATATTTCTCTTTCTTCCACTAGAGTATACTTTATATTGACAAAATATGTGTTTCAATTGATCAAAACAATATATTTTACTGACTGACTCTTATCTTTTCTACTGATATAAACTATATTTTTCTACTGACACCTATACATAATAAATTATCCATTTCCTAATTATTCACTGATATTTTTAATACTGAGAAACTAATATATATACTGATCATTTCTATACTCTTTTACTGACCATTTCATTTATTTTACTGACCGATTGATATTTTCCCAAAGTAATTTATCTAACTAATCGCTTCTTATAAATATACTTAGGGGTATTCATTGGTACTGGTAGAGACACTTTAATACTTCATAGGAAGCTTGATAAAACTTTCCTTTTGTATAGAATGATAGAGAAAAAAATGCTCTTTCCTTCTATGCTATTCGATCATACTTCTGTTGGTTTCATAAAAATAAAATTCTAATAAAACTAATGCTTGTAGCATGTGCAACGGTTATATGAGTTCATATTTTCTCGAATATGTATTCTTTTCTTAATCTTCCCTTTATTCTTCTTCTTTTTTTAATACTTCTCTCTCGCCTTTTCCAACTCTTTATCGTTTCTTCATATTAGAGTACACAAAAATAGAAAATACATAAACAAGTTCAAGAAGTTTTTATTTCATTAAATGTTCAAAATAACCGCTTTCATTATCTACATACAATTGCATTCGTCGAATCCATTTATCAAATATTTTTTTTAATCCTCTGCTTTA